CCTGAGGGCTGGAGAGATGGCTCAGCAGTTAAGAGCACTGGCTGCTCTTGCAAAGAACCAGGGTTCAGTTCCTAGCACCCACATGGCGGCTAACAACCATCCATAACTCCAGTTTCAAGGGATCCAGTTATCCATAATTGCAGTTCCAGGGGATCTGATGTCCTCTTCTGACCTTCATGGGCATTGCATGACACAGATGCACTTTCACGCATGCAGGCAATAACCTCATACACATAAAATAAAAATAATACAATTTAAAAAAAATAAGTAGGGCTGGAGAGATGATTCAGTGGTTAAAAGCACTGGTTGCTCTTGCAGAAGACCTGGGTTTGGTTCCCAGCACCCATACGGTAGCTAACAACCATCTGTAATTCCAGTTTCAGGGGATCCAACACCCTCTTCTGGCCTCTGCAGGCATTGTATGAACAAGTGCACTTCTGTACATGCGGGCAAAACACTCATACACATAAAATAAAAAATAAGTAATTAGAATGGATTGATTTAAATAAATAAACCTTTTTTAAAAAGCCTGCCTCCTGACTGGGGACATGCCCAGCATCCTAGTATCTGAATGGGATGGGAAGGAAGTCTTGCCGTCTCCCAATCCCCCCACAGCTACATCCATGTGTACCGAGAACTGGAGCAGGCCATCCGGGGGGCTGATGCCCAGGAGGACCTCAGGTGGTTCCGCAGTACCAGTGGTCCCGGGATGCCCATGAACTGGCCCCAGTTTGAGGTGAGGATGTTCAAGGTGGTAAATTTGCTAGTAGGCCTGTGGATACAGACCCTTCCCAACCTGACTTCTCTATGGCTTCCACCAGGAGTGGAACCCAGACCTCCCCCATGCCACCACCAAGAAGGAGAAGCAGCCCAAGAAGGCAGAGGGGACCACGCTGAGCAATGCCACCGGGGCTGTGGAGTCCACATCCCAGGCTGGGGACCGAGGCAGGTGAGTGCCTCCTGTGAAGCTTCTGGGTAGGTGAGAGAGGCCCACCCACTGGGACAGTTTCACCTACGAAGACATGAACTGACTCTAGACCATCGGAGACATGTATCCTCTGAAAGATCCTTTAAGCACTGCTCTAGGTACTCTTTATATTACCTCATTCAAGCCTCCCACCACTCTGGGAAGTGTGTAAATATTCCCATTTTACAGATGGGGAGCTGAAGCCCAGAGAGGTTAGGCTACATGCTCAGGGACACACAGTAAATGTAAGATTGAGGAAAAGGCTGTTAGGTCTGGTTGCAGGATCCTAGCCGGTCCCCCAAACATGAAGGGTCAGATGGTCTCTGGGACCCTCTTTAGCACCTCCTCTCTCTGGAGCTGAAATACTGATGCAAATGGCCCTGCCTCAGTTCTGTGTTGGGTTGTCCTGGGGGTCGCTAGCTGCCACCCTTTTCTGTGCAGCCGATCTCTGCTCCAGCTCTGGCAGAATTGGGGCCGGAGCTTGGGTTGGGAATGGGTTGCCATAGAGATTGGGGCAAGGCCCCTCCCAGGAGACCTCCATCTGTATCCTAGTGTTAGCAGCTATGACAGAGGTCAGCCATACGCCACCGAGTGGTCGGATGACGAGAGTGGGAACCCTTTTGGAGGCAATGAAGCCAACAGCGGAGCCAACCCCTTCGAGGATGATGCCAAGGGAGTGCGCGTGCGGGCACTCTATGACTACGACGGCCAGGAGCAGGACGAACTCAGCTTCAAGGCGGGTATGGTGGACTGCCCTGGGGACCTGACCCCGGGGGGTTGGGGCCAAGGTAGGTGCTGGCTGAGGTCCGTCAGGGCGCCTGTGCCTGAGGGTTGCACGTGGGTGTTGGGTGGATCTGTGGCCTCAACTCTTAAGTCCAGGGAAGTCAGTTGGAGTTTTGAGATTCCCAGGGCACCTTGAAGGGTTTACATGGCAGCTGTGTCCTGAGGGACAGATGGTACCTCTCTGAGCACCTCAACAAGCTCCCTCTTGTGTCCCCCCTTCACAGGAGATGAGCTCACCAAGCTGGGTGAGGAAGATGAACAGGGCTGGTGCCGCGGGCGGCTGGACAGTGGGCAGCTGGGCCTCTATCCTGCCAACTATGTTGAGGCTATCTAGCTGTCCCGCCCACCCGACTCCTCTCTCTTTTTGCCCACCGCCTGCCCTTCCTTCCCAACCCCATCTCCCTTTCCCTCTCCATAGAGTTCCAGACATATTTTCCGATCAAGCTTTTATTTTTTTAAAAGTCAAACGGAACAAAAGAAGAAATACAGAGACAAAGCATTTGCGGGGCCATCCAGAGGCCAGAGTGGTAGGGCTTAGGACAATGGCCCCACAGTGGGCAAGGATCTTGGGACTTAGTCCAACATCACATCTGCTCTACAGAGTCCACCAAAGAGTCTCCTGAGCCCTGAGGGATATCTTCTGGATCCTTCTGTCCTGCCTCAGTCTCCTGCCCCACCCTAGGCTGCCAGCAGTGACCCCTGTCATCTGAGCCTGACTTCCTAACCTCTTCCTCCCTTTCTTGTCCCCGTCAAAGGCTTCCTCCACACCCTAGTAAGGAGGTCCCCCAATCTTTAGTCTTCCACTCTGCCTTGGGGGTGCTCTACTCCTTCAAGACCCTTCCTTTGAGACCAGTGAGGCTGGGGGAGGAATGGTCCCCCTTGTCTGTGGATGTTTTGGGTTTTTTTTTTCCCTTCCCCAGACGTGAAGACAGATGAACTGAAGGAAGTATTGGTGTCCTTGGCACACAGGAGGGTAAAGGAAAGGCCCCGGCTGTGCCAGCCCTCCCAATGCCAGTCTCCTTTAGAGGGATGAAGACCCTGTCTGGGCCCTTCTTTCCTTCTCTGGGCACTGTGGAGAGAGGACTTCTCAGAGCCACTCAGCTTGTAGAGATCCTGCCCCTCTTTCATAAGTCCTTGGCACTGGGCAAAGCCCCCCCCCCAATGCCCAGGGCAAAGCCAGCAACAGTAGCAGCCTCTTCCCGTTTCCTGGGGAAGAGGCATCTGCCCACCTGTCCCCCTTCCTTCATGGTCATCCAGAAACCCCAAATCACTAGGTACAGCGGCAGCCTTTGTGAAGCCAAGCCTTCCTTGTACCCCCAAGTCTTACTGCCTCCCTGCCCTCGCCTCTTTCACCTAGCCTGCTTGGGGAGATGCTGGGGCTTGTGGGAGTTTCCAGCTTGGAGCCGGGGAAGCCAGCAGCCTAGACTGGCAGGAGGAAGGGACTCAGGCCTTCAGGAGATGGACAGTCACCATGCCTTTCTTTGTCCCCCTTAGTCTCCAAACGCACCCCATTCGTGCTGGCAGCTCCCCTCCCATTTCAGCAAGCTTGAGTCTCAGGTTAAAAGACTCTGGGGGTGGGGTTGGGGGGAGTGGGAACAAAGGATTCATGAGAGGGGACTGGGTATGGGTAGCAGCTCTCCCTCTGGTGGGTGGGGGCTGGAGACAGATTCAGGTTGGATAAGACCCCATGAGGTCAGGAGTGGCTGGAGGACATGTTTCTCCGAACCTCTGGGACCATCAACCTGAGTGAAGCCCCAGGTAGTACCTGCTCCCAGCTGGGGCTTTGCTAGGCTTCTGGGCTGCAGATGCCCCTCTGTCTTCCAGGGAAGAAGCGTGGGACTCCCATGTCCTCCAGGACTCCTTAGCTCCTCTGTTAGGAGGTCCTGAACCCAAGAAACCAGTCTGTACCCCACCTCTGGTGGGCATGGTTGTGGCAGGGACCTGAGTTTGGGTCAGTTCTCCCTCAGAGCCAGTGCGATTGGCAGCCTGGGGCCAGGGCTGCCAGCATCCCCTTTCTTGTTACTGTCTGGTCTCTAGGCATCTAATGCAGGCTGAATTAGGTCCTGGGTCCTTCAGAGCCTAAAAAGTCTGCCTTTCTCCACAATGGAAGCAGGGATCTGCTGGGGCCTTCTGGCCCTCACCCTTATCCTAGAAAGACAAGAAGCTGCCTTGTCTGCACCTTGGGGCCTGGGCTCCCCCTCTCTGCGCCAGCGGCTTCTCAGCACCTGGGGAGGGGCTGTAGCCCTGTTGGATCCCAGGCTTGTTTTCCTCAGCACTCTAGCTGCCCACTCCGGGGCAGGCGCTGGAAAACCCATCCCTTCCGAAAAAATCACCTTTAGGGCCCCATTTGGGAAGTCTCGGGCCTCAAGCTCCTCGGAACCCCGGCGCCGGAGGGTCTCTCACGCAGAAGTACCCTGAGCCCCGGGGTCCAGCCCCACCTGTTAGTGCTGGTGTCAGGACGCTCATCCTCTGGCTGGGCCACGCCCCCACGCCGTGACCACGCCCTCCTGTAGCCCCGCCCCCTCGATGCTGCACGGGCCCGCTCCCCGCGGGGCTTGGACAGTGATGTGTTTGTCCCCAGTTAACCACCATCCTGCAGGCCCGATTCCTCCAGGATCCCGGGCTGTCCCTGCTGCCACCGCGTCTGCCGCCCTAGGCTTCCTGACTCCATTAGTTCCGACACTTGTGAAACTCTGAGAAGTGCTGTGGTCTCAGCAATGCACCTGTTTTGTACATGATTGTGTAATTTAAAGGTATATAAATACAAATATATATATCTATCAGTTGTGACTGTGAACAAAACCCACAACTGTGTTCAACCTGGCTGGATGTGGTCATCTGAATCTTGTGCGTCTTCGGTCCTGGGGGGCAGGGTTGTGTGGACCCTGGGAGAGATGGAGCTGTTCTGGTGGTGGTCCCGTGCAAAGGTGAGTGCCGACCTGGCTGGTGGCCACCCTCAGGCTGCCTGACACAGGTTCTGTCTAGTGAAAGGGAGGGTCTCTGAAGCACTGGCCTGCTATGTGGCAGATGCCAGCACAGACCAGGGGTACTAGGCATTCAAGGTCTAGAACTCAAGGGTTGGAGGTGTTGCTCCGTGGTAGAGTGCTTGCCTAGTGGCTGAGGCCCTGATCCCATACCCAGCACCAAAATAAGTAAATTAATAAATAATAAATAAATAACCAAACTCATGGTTCAAGGGTGAATGTGATCCTCAAATAGTTTTGATTTTTAAAGAATTCTAAAAGCTGGTGCTGGAGAGATGGCTCAGCAGTTAAGAGCACTGACTGCTCTTGCAGAGGATCGGTTTGATTCCCAGCACCCACATGGTGGCTATGAACCGTCCTTAACTCCAGTTCCAGGGGAATCCTAAGCACTCTTCTGGCCTCCACAGCAATACACAACACTGGTGCGCTCACATACATGCAGGCAATACACTCATACACATAAAATAAAAATAAATAAAATATTTTTTTTAAAAAATTCTAAAAGCTATCGCTGAGGCTCCTGTGGTGCGACACTGCGTCTCTTCTCTCCTCCAGCTTGCCCTGCTGGGAAGTCATTTCTTAGGAGGCTCCTCCTGGGAGCATCTGCCCTGGCAGATCAGAGCTCAGCTTTTGAAACTCCTCCAGGCCTGACCCCAGAGCTCTCTGATAGCCCCCAGGTACCCCAACTAGGTCTCTGCTGGGGCAGCACAGGTCCCTGTGCTTTCCTTCCCTGCCCAGCTCCCTTGGTTTGTGGAGCTTCTCTGGTAGATGGCAGGGTCCTCACTCAAACCCAGTCCCTCTTCCCATCACTTCCTGCTACCACAGGGTTTACGAGGGAGGATGGAATTGAACCTACTTGCCATCCATCTTCCGTGACCCACAAACCAGTGTCCATTTGAAGACCTCCACTTAGCTAAATAGGAATTTTCTTCCTTTCTCTTCTTTTAATTTTTTTGGGGGGGTCTGTTTTTTTGAGGCGGGGTCTCCCTGTAGCCCCAGCTGGCCTGGATTCGCTATGGAGACCAGGCTGGCCTCGAACTCTCAGAGGTCCGCCTGCCTCTGCCTCCAGAGTGTTGGGATTAAAGGCATGCACCACCACGCCTGGCTCTTTTAATTTTTTTATATTTTGTTTTATTTTATGTCTTTTTGAAGCCAGGTCTCCCTGTAGCCCCAGCTGTCCTGGAACTCACTATGTGGACTAGGCTAGCCTTGAACTCACAGAGATCTGCCTGCCTCTGCCTCCCAAGTACTGGGACTACAGGCGTCTGCCACCACACCCGGC